AAATATTTTTTTCAAGCTTTGTATACCATTTGATGAAGATCTAGACCAATAACTTACATGCACAATATCAGATCGTTGGATCACTCCATTTATCCTGAACATTTATTTATATAGCGCAAAATGACCAAAAATTTAAAAACGTTGCAACGCTTTTAACTAAAATTAGACTTTGAATCACGAAAAAACATTGATTTTCCAATAATAATGAGTAAAATTTTCTATAATCTCTAGCATATTTTCCTTACATTAAATGAATAAGTCCATCAATGCAAGAATTAAGATTTTTATTCTTTAAGCTTTTGGACCTCAGTGGAGCTCCTTTAAACAGTGGACTGTTTCTATGTTACAGGGTATAAATGTTGCAGTAGTTGGAGTGGCAACTGTTCAATCAACAGCTGTCATGGCTTGTCAGGGGAAAACTAAAGAGGCGCAGGCACACATGTAAGTTTCAGTTGACACTGAATTATTCTTATTGAAAAGCTAATTTAATTAAAGATATACTATGCTCAAATTTGATGTTAGAAAATATTGATAATTGCTACACAGTCTCTTTGTAAATATAAAAAAAACATGTTTTATGTTGTGGTTAAGTGCAGTACAATATAAGAAATTGTACATATCAATTTTCATCTTCTAGCATGACTGTACAGATATTCTAGATAGCCAAACAAAAATTGATTTCTGAGCCTTTGTTTTCAGTCTTTAAAGCAATTGATTGATTTGGTTGGTCCAATGCCAGAATTAAATGATTATGGGTTGTTTGTTTGGCTCCATGCCAAATGATTTTGGGTTGGTTGGTTGGTCCCATGTTGTTGGTTGCAAGCAAGATTTAAATTATTATAAATTGATTAATTGGTTGGTTGCATGCCAGATTTTAGTTATTGTTGGTTGACTAGTTGGTCCCATGCCAGAAGACCTTCAGTAGTGTGTGTTATAGCTTATAAACATGATCACTGTTGATTTTTGTAAATAAATCAATTCATATGGTTCAAAAGATTACATACAGTCAGAAGAATGTTACAGAAATTTGACAGTCTATATCATACTTATATGCAAAATATTACGAAGAAAGAAAATTTATATGGCTAGAGACATAGAAATCAGAATCTCCATGAAAATTGACTTGACAAATATTAAATTTTAGTGTTATATGAAATAACAATTCATGTTAGATCCTATATTCATGCGTGCATCTGTAACTGTTTATGATTACAGACGCTCTGTTCAGAAAATGATGAAACGAGGGGCTAAGGAGGGAATGCAATTAGAGGAGCAACTTGCCTTCAGAAAAGAGTCTGAGAGCCTTAGAATGGAACTCAGGAAAGCTGCTGTAGAAGATGTAAGTGTGTCATTACCCTTAATCACATGAACTTTCTGTAATGGATTTGCCCAGCTTTTAATTTGGAACAGTCCATTCAAAGATTAATGGATTTGAAAATATAAAAATAACTTGAGCTACCACCAGAAATAAGCCTGGTCAGAGTAAACAGATTTGGCTCTATATTGGTGGTAAAAGGTTATCACTTTCAATCATAGCAGAGATACTATGAGCCTTGGAATGTTAGTTGTAGTAATAATTAGCTCACCTGTCAAAAAGTGACAGGGTGAGCTTTTGTGATCGCTTTTCGTCCGGCGTCCGTCCGTCTGTCGTCCGTAAACTTTTACTTTAAATGACATCTCCTCATAAATCACTAAGCCAATTTCATCCAAACTTCACAGGAATGTTTCTTTGGTGGTCATCTTTTAAAATTGTTCAAAGAATTTAATTCCATGCAGAACTCTGGTTGCCATGGCAACCGTAAGAAAAGACTTTTAATATCTTCTTTTAAAAAACCCAAAGAGCTAGAGCTTAGATATTTGGCATGAAACATCTTCTAGTGAGTGTCTACCAAGTTTGTTCAAATAAAAGCCCTGGGGTCAAAATTGGCCCCGCCCCAGGGTGTCATTGATTTTCCTTATATGCATATAGTAAAATCTTCAAAAATCTTCTTTTAAACAACCCAAAGAGCTAGAGCTAAGATATTTAGCATGAACCATGTTCTAATGATTGTCTACCAAGTTTGTTCAAAGAAAAGCCCTGGGGTCAAAATTGGCCCCGCCCCAGGGGGTCATTGATTTTCCCTATATGCATTTAGTAAAAACTTAAAAAATCTTCTTTTAAAGAACCCAAATATCTAGAGCTAAGTTATTTAGCATGAAACATGTACTTATGGGTGTCTACCAAGTTTGTTCAAATAAGAGCCCTTGGGTCAAAATTGGCCCCGCCCCAGGGGTCATTGACTTTCCTTATATGTGTAAAGCAAAAACTTAAAAAATCTTCTTTGAAAAAACCCAAATAGCTAGAGTTTAGATATTAGGCATGAAACATCTTCTAGTGAGTGTCTACAAAGTTTGTTCAAATAAAAGCCCCGGGGGTCATTGATTTTCCTTATATGTGTATAGCAAAAACTTAAAAAATCTTCTTTGAAAAAACACAAATAGCTAGAGTTTAGATATTAAGCATGAAATTTAAGTGGGTGTCTACAAAGTTTGTTCAAAAAAAATCCCTGGGGTCAAAATTGGCCCTGCTGGGGGGGGGGGAAGGGAAGTATCATTTATTTTCCTTTTATATGTGTATAGTAAAAATTTAAAAATTCTCTTTTAAAAAGCCTAAAGAGCTAGAGTTTAGATACTTATCATGAAACACCATTGAGTGAGTGTCTACCAAGTTTGTTCAATAAAAACCCTGGGGTAAAAATTGGACCTGCCGGTGGGGGGAGGGTCATTGTTTTCATTATATGTGTGTAGTAAAAACTTCACATCTTCTTTAAAAAACTCAAAGACCTAGAGCTTAGATATTTAGCATGAAACATCTTCTAATGGGTGTCTACCAAGTTTGTTCAAATAAAAGCCCTTGGGTTTAAACTGGCCCCGCTCCTGGGGCCTATATACAGGTGAGTGACTTCAGGGCCATCATGGCCCTCTTGTTTTCTTTTTTACTTATACCACACGTGTACAGCTAGGAAAGCATGCATTATTGTGTAGAATGACCACAGACTCTACACTATTAGCTGCTGTTAATTATATAGATACTGGAATCCTTCGGACTTGTAAAGATTGACAAAATTGTCAATGACTGAAATACATAAAAAGCAGAGTCTTTACAACTCAGATTGTAATACTTCACATTATTAAGTTTTTATCATGAATAAAAGCAATTTCTCATTTAATTGGCACATATTCATGAATTTATAATTAGCTTATGACAACTTTAACTCCATACTAAATTGCTGCCCGTTTAAATGTTTTATAATATTATTAGATAATGTTGAAAATAGTCATTTCTTAAAAAAGTTAAGAAAGTTTTATAAAATTTCATTTTTTTTGTCAGGACATTTCAAGGAGATCAGATCAGAGGACCAAGATTTTCACATCAAACAAGACTACATCAAGTAATATGTACCATGGATCTTCGGCCCCTTTAAAGATGAAAAAGATGAAGTCTAGACAAGTTGATAATGATTTAGTGGTTCAACAATATCTCAATTATCAGAGTTAAATGTTCACATTGATGATGCTTTTGTTAAAGAACATTATAATTACAAGAGTGAAATGTTCACATTGATGATGCTTTTGTTCAAGAACATTATAATTACAAGAGTTAAATGTTCACATTGATGATGCTTTTGTTTAATAACATTACAATTACAAGAGTTAAATGTTGATGTTGCTTTGTTTATGACAACACTGATGGCACTTTCATGCAATGTCATTAAAAAAAGCAATGGTCACAGGGAATTGAAGTTACCATAGCAATGAAGAAATAATGGCATCATTGGAGTATTCTGAAAAGTATAGATTTCACTATAATTTTAATATTTTCTTACATTCATGCATATTTTTATTATATATGTATTTACCGAATCTATCACATGTACAAATATATCCATTAAATCCATTGTGTGATGGTCTTATAAAACCCATTGTGTGATGGTCTTATAAAATCTATGGTGAGATGGTCGTACAAAATCAATTGTGATATGGTCCTACAAAATCCATTGTGAGATGGTCATACAAAATCCATTGTCTGATTGTCTTACAAAATCCATTGTGAGATGGTCATACAAAATCCATTGTCTGATTGTCTTACAAAATCCATTGTCTGATTGTCTTACAAAATCCATTGTGAGATGGTCATACAAAATCCATTGTCTGATTGTCTTACAAAATCCATTGTCTGATTGCCTTACAAAATCCATTGTGAGATGGTCATACAAAATCCATTGTCTGATTGTCTTACAAAATCCATTGTGAGATGGTCATACAAAATCCATTGTCTGATTGTCTTACAAAATCCATTGTGAGATGGTCATACAAAATCAGTTGTGAGATGGTCTTTCAAAATCCATTTAAATCACATACAATTTTCATATCCAGGTATGCCTGTAATAATCTCGTATCAATGTTTCCAGTGTTAGAAAAGCAGGAACAGACAACTTATAATGTGACTTATGCCATAATTTATTTTGCAAGTTTTGTTTTTAAAATTTTTTGTTATATTATAATTATTATATGCATAAAAATTCATATTGACAATTTGAAATGTTTTTATTATACTCATATGTTGAAAGAAGTGTAATATTCCTTAATCTTATTATTGATATATATATATATATATATTGAATATATCTTTTTTGTAAATAACAGGAACACTTTTGTTTTGTTGTGTTTTTGCTGTCAAAATAAGCATTCCTTTATTTTTATTGACATTCTGTTGATACACAATAGCTGTTATTTTGTTATTTAAGTTTCCTCGTTACTTTTTAGTAAGATTTTTTTTAATTTTCTTTTTTTTTAATTTTCTTTTCTTTTGTTGTTGTTTTGCGGAGAGGGGTTCAGTTAAAAATTCTTTTCTGAAAAAAAAAATTAAAAATGGGGAAAATTCCATTCTAGTAATAAGCAAATTATTGAGTATATTCTTCTTATGCAATATGTAACAGAATCACGCTATCCAGCAAAGCGGGGTAGCTGTGTTTTCTTTGGAGATCTGGTTTTATATATTTTATGCATTGTTTAAATTGATGAATATCTTTTATTTTCATTTTTATGATTCACTTGCATTATGACATATTGAGGGTTTAAATTTAGTTTACAAAATTCACATTTGTATATATAACTGTTACATATTCGTATTTTGTGTTTATTAAAACATTTACTATATTTGCTTGTCTTGCTTTTATAAACAGTATGTTAGCAGAATGCATGGATTAAGTCTAAGGATTGGAATTTCATTTTACTGGACTAACCAGTGCTGGTATCTTATTAGAAACATAGCTGTGACTCCTATCAGGATCAAACCTGGATCCTCTAGTGACAGATGTCCTGATCAGTTGACTACTTCACATCTTAATTCCACACTAATTTCCTGCACTAACCACCTTGGTAATATTTGTTAATTCAAATAAATAAATATGACATAATTGTATGTCGTGTAGACTTTAATAATTTCACGTTTCACAATTTTTAAGTATGTTTAATAAAACTATAGTCGCCAAGCAAATGAGTTGTGACGAGCAATGGTTCATAGTGCCTTAAATAGTGTGCAATGAGCTATTTGTTCATGTAATAAGTGTAGTCTGGATTACCTGCCCTTTTCTTGCCGTTCAATAGTACTAAATTTTATAGTAAGACGAGAACCAGTAATTATAAGTGTGTTAATAGTGTGTAAGGAGCTATTTGTTCATATATAGTGGCGTAAATAGTGTGTAAGGGGCTATGTATTTTGATACGTGGCCAGTGGTTACGTTCAAAGTGGCGTGAACAGTATGATGGTGGTGGTGTTAGTAGTTTACCCTCTAGGTCATCTGAGTACAGTTCAGTCACGGTAGGCTGTCAAGTAGTTTACTAGTACTTGTTGCCGCAACTTTTGCAAGGAACGGATTACTTCTGTTCATGCCAGGGCATAGGTACAGTGCGAATGACCGTAGAAGAGATTTCATGTATTGAACTATCCGGACGGTCGTGAACAGAATGGGGTAAATTCCATCAAAATTTATATACTCATTCGTGATCAAAATATCTAAATGAAGTATAATTTGACAGTTTATTACTATATATTCTAGATCGAAAAGGGTTTGAAGTTATAAGAACATGGACATACACTTATTTATACATGAACTAGTAGGGTTATATATGCAATACTAGTTTTGATTTGAAACATTGGTCATATTGAAAGGAAACATGCAACGTGGTCCAAGAATTTTTTTGTGGTAACCAGCGTTCCTTCGTTACTTCTAACAGTGTCTATGTCACATTTATCTGATTTTTAGCTCACCTGTCACAAAGTGACAGGGTGAGCTTTTGTGATCGCTTTTCGTCCGTCGTCCGTCCGCCCGTAAACTTTTACTTTAAATGACATCTCCTCATAAACCACTAAGCCAATTTCATCCAAACTTCACAAGAATGTTCCTTTGGTGGTCACCTTTAAAAATTGTTCAAAGAATTTAATTCCATGCAGAACTCTGGTTGCCATGGCAACCGAAAGAAAAAACTTTAAATATCTTCTTTTAAAAAACTCTAAGAGCTAGAGCTTAGATATTTGGCATGGAACATTTTCTAGTGAGTGTCTACCAAGTTTGTTCAAATAAAAGCCCTGGGGTCAAAATTGGCCCCGCCCAAGGGGGTCATTGATTTTCCCTATATGCATATAGTAAAAACTTAAAAAATCTTCTTTTAAAGAACTCAAAGAGCTAGAGCTAAGATATTTAGCATGAAACATGTTCTAAATGGTGTCTACAAAGTTTGTTCAAATAAAAGCCCTGGGGTGAAAATTGGCCCCGCCCCGGGGGTCATTGAGTTTCCTTATATGTGTGTATAGCAAAAACTTTAAAAATCTTCTTTGAAAAAACCCAAATAGCTAGAGTTTAGATATTAAGCATGAAACATCTTCTAGTGAGTGTCTACAAAGTTTGTTCAAATAAAAGCCCTGGGGTCAAAATTGGCCCCGCCCCGGGGGTCATTGATTTTCCTTATGTGTATTGCAAAAACTTAAATTTCTTCTGTGAAAAAACTTGAATAACTAGAGTTTAGATATTTAGCATGAAACATCTTCTAGTAAGTGTCTACAAAGTTTGTTCAAATAAAAGCCCTGGGGTCAAAACTGGCCCCGCCCCAGGGGTGTCATTTTGTTAACTCTATGTGTATAGTAAAAACTTAAAAAATCTTCTTTGAAAAAACCCAATGAGCTAGAGCTTAGATGTTTAGCATGAAACATCTTCTTATGGGTGTCTACCAAGTTTGTTCAAATAAAAGCCCTTTGGTTAAAATTGGCCCTGCCAGGGGGAGGGGGGAGGCCTATATATAGGTGAGCGACCTCAGGGCCATCATGGCCCTCTTGTTATATATTACATTCAAAATTGTACTGCATGACTTTCATGCTAATTACGAGCTTCGGTGTGCCCCAGTGTTTGTTTGTTTGTTTTGGGTTTTACGTCACATCGACACATTATAGGTCATATCGCGACGTTCCAGCTTTTACTGGTGGAGGAAGACCTCAGGTGCCCTTCCGTGCATTATTTCAGGCACGAACGGGCACCTGAGTAGAACCACCGACGTTCCGTAAGCTAGCTGGATAGCTTCCTCACATGAAAGAATCCAAAGTCCCTGTCGGGATTTGAACCCACAGCGGTGAGGGGCAAGTGGTTTGAAGTTAGCGACGTGCCCCAGTGTAGCCAAGGCGCTGCGTAATACAAATGAATGTATTTGTAAGAAATATGCACATTCTACATTCACCACATTCACAAGTTGGATGTCTAATGACAATTTTCAATTTGAGAACTACATCATGTACACATTCAGATGTGAAGTAGTTTTTCTGGGTCCAGAAAATGCTTAATATAGTATTAACACCATTGTAATAGGCGCCTGTGAACAGGCAGTACGAATTGCATAGATGGTGAAGTAACAGTAAAATAGTTCATATATTAAGTATTAGTAAATGCAAAAGATCTAATACAAGTTAATTTTAAAAATTCAATACCATAATGCAAGATAGTATTACATTTTGTCATACACATCACAAGATTTTATTACTAGTATACATTATACAAAAATTAAACATTTCAATGCAAGACAGTGGTGAATATTCATTATACGAACTACAAATTATTAGTGTAGATAAAAACATGTGTAAAACATCTCACTTATATGTACAATGTAATGCAATTGCAAGTTAAATATTTAGTATAATGATGATATTGATTAATTGATACATTTGATAATATGAGGTTATACTAGTAATACATTGTCGAGTATAATACTGAATTCTTTATTGGATGAGTGCACATCTGTCGAAACTATATTGGACGAAGTGCTAACCGAGTCTCATATAGAATTGAAGGCCAGCTACTCATAGCGTTTGAATATTGATATCTCACCACCTTCTGTCTCCCGAGATATCAATTTTCCGATGCTTCTCATGTCACAATACAAAGCTTCTGAAAGCTACTAAAACATAAAACACGTATTCTGTATGTATCCGACACATTACACATTGAAATATTATAACATCAGGTTGTCCTATATATTGATGATCTAAATGCCTTTTCTTAGAACAAAGGTACAAGTATTCGAATATTTTAACTACAAAATGTTAGAAATACATGTATTCTGTGATTTCAAAAATCAGAAATGTTGCCCATCTGCTGTTCCGTGGTCATCTGCTGCTCCATGGTCATCTGCTGTTTCGTGGATTTTATCAGTGCCCGCTTGCACATGCTCTAGTTCACACTGGCTGTCTTGCAATCTACAATGATCATTTCTTTCTTTCCTTGCTTTCCTGAATCTAATGATTGCAAATGTAGCCAGAAGAACACATACTAACGTTGCTGCTGACGATATGAAAATAATTGACGATATGGATGCGGAAGCAGCCGATACTGTACCGCCAGTTTTCTCTTCTATAACAGGCAGATCTGCGTTATCCGAGTAGAGATTTTTCATTTCTGCTAACGCGTGGTCCATTTTAGCCTGTGCGTTTATATATTTTTTCACCTCTTCACCTAGTGATTCCATTTCTGTCATTTTCTTAAAGGCTTTCTCATTGTTATACCATTTGCCATCAATCATTAAAACAATGTCCGTATAGTTTGCTTCTGGGGCTTTTGGCCTGCTGATGTAGGGCGGTCTTTTCAGAATTGGAAGTTGTTGTTCCCCACCTTTTTCTGTGTTTTCAGAGCATAAAACGATTTCACAATCAGAGATTATTTCAATTGTTTGATGGATATAACCATGCGGGCATCGTTTTGGAAATACTCTGACACCATCAGTATGTGTTCCATTTATAGAAAGTGCAAGTGGGTTTCCAGTATCGCAACTGAAGAAACCACCAAAGCTCACGCCGATATCGCTTTCCTTTTCAGAAGCACAAATAGAGATACCTTCTCCCAATACCAACGGAAAAAAATCAGTTGGACAAGAGCTTCCTCCGGTAAGGCTGTTGATTCTGGAATCGGAATATATGCCGCCAAATATGTACCTTTGATCAAGTGTTCTGTTTCCGCCGCTGCGAGCGCACCAAAAAGCTGTGTATCTACCTTCGCTATGAGATGCCCATTTTTTACACTTCTTAGGCCACCAACCTTTACATGTTTTATGAGACGTAGAAGCGCTTATTGATTTTGAAAATAGTTTGATATCTATATATCCCTCAGGGCAAGTCAAGTTCCTAGTCAATGGGTTTTTCAGAACATGGTCTTTGCATATATCTCCAGCATCAGATATTGACATTGTGCAACTTTGAAAAACACCACCAAAATACATACTTTTATCTTTTATTCCATCACAGACACTATTGTCAGCAACATTCACCTTGATGTCATAGTTTTTACTTCTCGGATCCATACATCCTCTATATGTGTTATGCTTGTAGTAACTTATGAAAGCATCCTTCACGCCTTGCTCAACTTTCATGACGGTTGACAAGGGCAGGTCTGGTAAAGTCGAAGTTGAAACTAATTCATAAATAGGAACTCCATTTCTATCAATGGCTACAAGTTCATTATCGAGGGAGTCTGTCCATTCTGCAACTGAAGTATTTTTATCAAAATATTTACCACCAAATGTCTTGATGACTGAATATGATATCTTGTCGTTATATTCCTTCACGGTTTCTTCTTTTTTAGTGTTGTTGTATCCAAATTCAAGGCCACCGCCCACAGTGACTCCATCATATATAGTGCTAAAAGATATTCCGGCAGCGATTTGCCAGCTTTTCGTTTCAGTGTCACCTTTTTTTGTCGAGTTTGAATCGATATGATCCTCTTTGAACAGAATGGCGCCTGCGTCAATACTTGTTTGAACGTGTGTTCCAAAGTCCCTTATAAGTATTTGGCATTGATATATGGCATGTTGATCATAGTTACTATAGTAACTCGATGCTATCTCCAGCAACCTTTGTTTAAATGATGGATGTAAAGATGCGTTTGGGTCCGACACAATGCGATACCTGTTATACCGAGCCTCCACCCTCGCTATGTGTTTGACCGTGCTACTCTTAGAAAAGTGCGTTTTAGCTTTTGATATCCAAATGAGAACGATCCGCTGACTTTAACATCACCTTTTCCTACATTAGCATTAATTCCTCCATTGATTGAATGAGCATTGGTTGAAGTGTAATCATTCATACTACTCATCATCTGGGCGAAAATGTCCACGTGACTTTGTTTTATAGGTATCAGTAACACGTTGTCCGGAATAAGATATTTTCCATCTTCTGTTAGTTTACATTGGTGGTATTTTTTATCCAAAATTTGAGCAAGCTCAGTATTTTGAAGATTGTCCCATCCTATACCTGGAAGAACTTCAAATATTTCAAACTTCCCTTTGATTAGTTCGGTACATTTAAGTGGATGTCCGTCAATGTAATCATCCTTTGGTGCGTCTTCCAATTCAGCTTTGACATTTGCTTCAACAGCTCCTTCTCTATAAACAAGAAGTAACAGCACACAGAACCGATACATTTTATTTGTCTTAATCATTAACTATTCTTCTTTTTTCGAAATATCTTTTAAAACTGAGGAGTGTACACAAAAACAGAAAAAATGGGCAAGAACACAGTTTTATAGTATTTTAAGTCAATGCGGTAATGAATGAATAAATTTCCTGTTATAACAAGTTGTCGCAGCGCACACAAAAGGATTATTTAAAGTTGTGATTTTATCTTTACATTTGCAGCAGCATCTCGAAAGAAAAACTATAAAAAGCTTAATGACAAGTGTTAAAATATATATGTGTAGCTTTTTCTTAAAATCACCTTATACCTTTACAAACATACAAACTTTGTTAAAGGTTTAAACAAATAAATATGCTTAATCATCATAACTTCAAATACATTTTTTCCCAATGGATTTGCAAAAAAAATAAGTATTACCTAATGTTACAGCTTTTACTAAAATATTCTGTCACGGAAGGCCTGAAATTGAATTAATGATGACGTCCAATAGACTGTTTGGTAATGTTAGTTGACCAACTCGGAAATCAGACCCATAATTTCGAGATTAAGTCTCGCGCCCTTACCGGCTGAGCAAATTCGCTAAAATTGTTTGAAACAATAATAAAATGGCAATCGAGATGAAATCTATGCATTAATATTTGTCATTTTAAATTCTATAACCATGCATGACTTATGTATTAGTAGTCTGTTGCAAGAAGGTTTGGTGAATCGGTAAAGAAGTAAAAAGAAAACCACGACACGTCGTTGTGTTATCATGAATCAAAAGAAGGGACGAAAAATAGCTTGTACAATTGTGCAAAAGAATAAAGAAACAGAAAGATGTTAATTATTATTGGTAATGGAAGAAATATTTACTATAATTAAACTTATTTGGTAACGTGAAATCTCTAATAACTTTTATCAAGACGATACAAATTGATCAACACCAAGGGCTAATAAATCTCGCGCAAGGGATTTTTGGCCTAAACGGGAAAATTTTCTTTTTAACTTTCCTTCTTAGATATAACTCGTCAGTGTCATTTCACTTGTAAAACATATGCATACGTTTTAAGTTCTTAATATATTTTACTCTTATTAAGTCAAGGTTGTGTGGTAACAAAAGCTGAGTTTTCTGTTTAGGAATAGATCCTTGATAAACATTGTGATTTTCACTATTGAAGTTTGTTAACACAGTGAACATGATACATGTACATATATTTTTGGCGGATATTCCCCTCCATAGTACTCACCACTCCTTTGAGCTGCTAGGCTCTTTAATAAGACCCAACTGAGTTGTTCTGCCACTGATCGTGAAACAGTTACGTTCTTTACTCAACTCAACTCAACTCAAATAATTTTATTGGCATAAAACAAATAACAAGTTTATAGCCATACAAAATATGTAAAGTTACGTTCTTAACGTCACAAACAAAATCTGCGGTGTGTTGTAAGATAGTTTGTAATAAAGTAAATTTTACTCAAAGTTTAGTGGCATGCGCCTTTTTTTAAACCTAGCAGCATGTCATCGAGCAAAGCATTTAAAAAACGTGAAATGGTTTTGTTAGATTATAAAGTTATACATTGTAAACATACAAGTTAAACAGAATTTGCGGTTAAAATGCAAATTTTGTGTATGAAAATGTTAATTCCGTTCAAACATTACAGCATAAAATATAGCACCTTCTCTATCTCTAACTGCAGAGAAGGATACGCACAGCAAAGTTATCTATAAAATATTACTTAAATCGATTAATATTCTCTTTGACGATGTATATAAAGTCACGCGGGTTGACTACCTGAGTAAGAGGTGTTAAAATTTAATTTGCAATACATTTTTGTTAGCCATTGAAGTAATAATGTATATAGGACATTCAAAAACAGTTATTATTCAGAGCGGGCGCTATGGTGCAGTGGTAACACTGTCTACCTTACAATCAAAGGGTCGTGAGTTCGATCCCCCTACGAGACTGACAAGACAAGAACATAGAACTATATAGAACTCTAGAAACTAAACGAATAGAACATACAAACCGAGACTAAATGGTCAAAAACATTCAGATATAGACAAAACTGACTAGAATTAAATTTAAGGGACCTAACGGAAAAGAGGGTAAGGGACAAAACAACATTCTACAAGACACTGAATGAAACATACGACTCGTCACGAAACGGAACAGTCAACAGATATTTAATGGAACAAGACACAAGGACTCCAATGATACAGGCAAGAGAAGACAACAGAACAGCCAATTAAAACTTAAGACAACGGGGAAAGAAACGTGGACCGATACTAGAAGACCTGAAACGAGCATATGCAACAAAAGAATAATACTGAAAGACAAAAAGTGACGTCACGGCCAGGTAACAAAGACTTTACGGATCATTCCACAAGACAATGGAAAATGGAGCAGAGGACAAGACACTTAAAAAATCAGAGAACAATGTGGCAGACAAGATCAATAAAGAAGACACCACAAAAGAGACTTAATTATGACATCAACGATACAGACAAGAACAAAACACAAAAATAGAAAAGAAAATGAAGCTGTTAATACAAAAACTTACATGTTACGGAATAATTCAGACAGACAACAACGGAAATGACAACAAGGGCCTAATAGAACAGCAAACAACAAATACAAATACTTATGAACAGATTTCCAAAATGAAAAGCTGTCATGATAATCATGATTAAGAAACGCATTATAAAATTATCATGATTACGGTATTTAAGAGCAATGCAAGCTGACCCTTCAACGATAACCATTATTAAAATAAATGCAAGTTGAAAACAGAAACAATAACCGTTACTAAAAGACGACGTTATTGTAATTTCTGACGATAACTGTTATTATAAAGACGTGGAATAATAACCGTCCTAAGCAGTGATCTCCCTTTATAAGTACAATATGCCAAGAGAGGTAATCACTGTAAGGGCCAAGAGAGGTAATCACTGTAAGGAGTTTGTGTTATTATAAGACACATATGTTGAAATTTCTGACGATAAGCATTATTAAAAAGACGTGCTGGTCAAAAAACTGTTACAATAACCGTTATGACCGTGAAATTTCTGACGACTATTTAAAGAAAACTGTCAGGGCCAAGTCGATGTTTCCTGGACACTTATTGCTCAGTACTGGTTTGTTCAAGGAACGGATTCGAAAGTGCATGTTACTATAAGCTTATAGCTTCGTACACAATCGAACTAAAATAAATTCTATATGAACCAAAGAAAACTGTAACGAGATTAGATACAAGCAGAATAGGAAGTTATTCTTGTGGAGCAAACGGAACTTGTTAAATTCTCACTTTAGAAAGGTTAATTGTACCTCTTGTCATAATTTTCCTTTAAAAGGTCAAAATTTTGATTGAATTGATGAATATTTCATAATTAAATTAGCGGCGAAATGTTACAAGTGACTGTTAGATTTTTTATTTATAAAACTTTATTAATTGTATTTATATATACTAAATTAATAGTTATATGTACGAAAATGTAAACATTGTCAAAAATTTTACAATAAATATACATATTGTAAAGAAGCGGCTGTAAAAAATCAAATATATGATGCGTGTTACGTAATCTTTTTCTTTAAAACTTTATCTGTTGATCGTTCTTTTTTTTCTTTTTATTCTACATTTACAGTTTGATATTTTGCCTTTTACATATGATTGACGTACTTGTATTTCAATGAGCTCAGTTTCAACTCGTACGTTTACAATAACTTCCCTAGTTTCTTTTATTCAAACAAATCACATCTTGAAGCTTCCGCGTCTGCTTGAAATAATAAATTTAAAAGTTTGTCATGTTTTCCATAATTGATTACAATGAAACTATTTAAAAATATTTTTGACAACACAAGGTCGCTATTTGTTGTGGACTAAACTGTACTTGTCAAAGCTGCATGCCTCTATGTTAGCCGAATATATCAAGAAAATCAAACTTGATAAAAATGTACTAAGATTTAAAGAAAAGTAAAAAAGATTCAAGATTTAAGTAATGACTTACATGTTTTGTGCAATTAATGACTGATTTTGTAGTATTTATACTGCGTGACTAACGCATTAAGGGCTAATTTTATTTTTTGCATATTTTGACATCCCCCCCCCCCCCTGTTTCATTACATAGAATCTTAGTGGAAACGAAGCCTGTATATATTCTTTTATACATGACATTTTTTATATATCAAAGTGTTTAAAACTATATTTCGTATGTGCTGCATAAATCATAAATCTTTATTTGAATTTGAAAAAGAATAGTTCCAAACTACCTGTATGAATAAAAAATGTTTTTATCCTGCTTTAAGAGTGAATGTTGCATGCATGAAAGCATTGCTAAAAATCCTATTTAAAATAGCTGCTTTATATTTTGTTCCGGAACATTTTATTCTATTAACATATAATATTCATGTGTGTTAATTAGCAGAGCCAATTTTTGTTACAACTTTTTCAAGAATTGACCATCAGATTATGGAAACAATATTATTTTACTGATTTCAAAAATTCTGTATAAATTTTTCATTAGATATAGCTTTATACCCTTTTACGTTGGTAAAACTTTTAAGTTCTATTTTTTTTGTCTTCAATCTTTTCACCGTTCGTTTTTTATATCTGAGTTCAATTTAACAAAGAAGATATACGTTTTAGACAAAATTATGACAAATATATTTCTTGTCACTATGACCATAAAATCATGAAAATAATCATTATGGTGTATTTACAGAGTTTTAGAAAAATCAAAATTTATATCACCACTTAGAGAAAAGTTATTTCTAGAAATAACTTAACAAATCAAAACGAAATTTTCATACTACATTGTATTACAGTAAGTATTATTTTGAAAATAAAGAATGATCACAATTTAAATCACCACTTAGAGAACTATTACAAAATCACCAAACATAAAAGAAATCGAGTATCTGAATAAATTTTCACAGACAAAGGTATGTTTATATGACTTCGTTCACGCCGTGACGTTGGACAGGTGTCGTGCCATAATTTGGCGTCTGATCAGTATTAACTTGGTCCAGTTCCCCTTGATTATCGCCCAATAAGGTTGATAAATCTCGCTCTTGATTCTTTCTTCTGCATTTCATGAAGGCTAAAGTCGCTATAACAACACAAACGAGGGTTGCAACGGATG